TGATTCGCAGGTGGCCAACGGAGGACGTTAAGACTAGTCTACACAGAGCACGTGGTAGATTAGATTAGATTTTATTATAGTCCTATTTGAGTCTATGACTATAGAGGACTTCTAGTTTCTACATTAAAGAGACTAACAAATTTCGATATATTCAAACATTTTAATTCCCAATATTTTCTTGTAGATAGTGAGGAAGTGTACGTGGTAGATTGTCTGCCCAAGGAAGAAGTTATTAATTCCTATCGAGTAATTGTCTGTCAACTACATCTGAATTCATTAAACCCTTAGACCAACCTCTATCTCATCTTGTGAACTTTTCCTGATCCCTCTCACGCCCATCCCAAAGAAATGAGCCCCAGATTTGTGCGCAACGTTTTGCTTCCTCCGTTGGGCATTAACGTCGGCTTTGGTGGGTATTTGGTGGCCAGCTGAGGCCAGAGAAAGTCGACGAGAGATTCGGTCATTGAAGCGAGGATGTACTAAGTCGTACTTGCAAGCTTGATAAATTCTCTGTGGCAACTTATGTCGTTGGGAGTGAAAAGTTTACATGGCGGAATATCTTGAATCATGGCCTCGTAGGCTAACTTCTTTGGTATACCAAATTTGGACCGAACTCAGCGCTGGGGAATATTTCACCCCAAGTTCATGGAGGACACTGAATACAGGGCGGGACTGTTCTCAACACCTATTAATGGTGTCGCCTACGAACCTTTAGCTCCAACTGTAGAGTCTGCAGAGCCGAGATTGAATAACAAAGTCCTCACTTCGACGAGGATTTCTGTGACGGAAACCGAGTTGGTGATGAATAAGTCGATTTATTAAACTATATGAGGAGAGAAGAGAACTCTAGCTACAGCTAACAGGTACTTATAATGACTGATCCGCTGCGTGTATCTACTAACTGATGGTTTTCCTCCGGACATCATACTCGCTAACTAGCCACGTATCGTTGGGTGTTACTTAGTTGTAACAGCCGTCTTGCGTCCTGATTAGTATTATCGTTTCGTCTAGTTCCATCTTCCCCTCCCCGTGCGACCTTATTGTAAACAATCTAAGTATTACGCTTAGGTATCCACCTAAGCTCATACAATGGACAAACCGTGACAATTTCCAATCGCTTTAGTGGTCTATATAGTCTTCATCCCTCAACACATTCCCCTATCACCATTTTCAAGAAGCTAACCACGATCAGATCAGATGGTACGGTCGGAGCCCTACTCATCACCAACCCTTGATCATGGAGGAAAAGCCATCCGATGAGTTTCCGGAGCGTACCCAGCACCCGATACGGAGATGGTGGATTGGATAAAGTCGGCCTTGACTGTTACAAAGAAGGGAGATATAGCTGAATATGCGCACCTCATGTGTCACCGATGTGTAGGCCTCGCCTGGTTTGGGCTGCAGGCTTTTTGAGATTTTTTCCCGCGCACGCAGTTTCCATTGCTACCATTTTTTTTTTGGGTCGAAGGTTCCGTGGGAAAGACGGCCGAATTTCACGGATAATCATTGAGCTGAATGGCTATTCATCAAGGGGAATATATCAATCATCTATCAAGAAACATGAGAGGCAAGGAGCACTGTACATGGTATGGCCTGGGTCAGAGAGGAGCCCAATGTGCTAGTAGTCACAAACTCAAGTAGTACAATAAATTAAGAACACACGACACATATTGCGTACAGGTATTCAGCTTTTATCCTTCCGATTTATAGTCGTTGACGCTAAGAAGGACACAACACTTCGTCGTGGAAACGGCTAGTTGAATGATCGGACCTGACAAATTGAATACATAGGCGAAGTTGGAGATATTCCTATCTTCCACGTGGAATGAATTATCTAGAACTGAGGATGGGATTTTTCTCTGTAGAATCTGACCCCAATAGCGTTTAGTTCTATTTGGGTGTTGAGGGTTCCAAATATTATTTGAATTCGATTTCATTTTCCTGATTTGGCGCTCTATGGGCCCATGCAGGTGTTTACAATCTGTAACATTTGCACGGGAGGAAACGCATATGGTGAAAACCCCCCAGGTCTTTGTGCTTATTGTCTTCAGTTTTCACATATTTTCTTCAGGAAGCGCAGTTACACTATAGTGCCATCCATACAAACCAACTAGATCATCTCTAACCGCCCCAAGCGTTACTTGACCTGTTCCTTTCCCTCAGCAGCAATTAGACCGCCTTTGTCATCTGGAATTGCTGTATCCAACCATGATTCATGATCCACAGTGCTATCATTTTGATGTCTCCAGGATTGTCTATCATCGCTTCGTAGGACCGATCTTTGGCTTGTCTCTAGATCTCAGCTCTACCATTCGACCATTGTGGGCAGGCCATAATCATATGCTTGGGGTTCTGTGATAGTAGCCGCTCGGATAACCTGGACTCGATACTCCGGGTACTTTTCTTCTGTGTAAATACGAGTTAAGCCCCTTGTGCTCACTTCGTATTTGCATTGCCAAACTGCATTTCCAAAATATTATTATTATTAATTTATTTTATTGTGCTATCTAAGTCTATGACTATGTAGGGCATGCAGGTCTCTCTGCCTACGGGCCAAGTATACCTATACCGGTAGTTTATCCCCTCTAAGGGTTCCAAATACTTGGCACATAGAATCACGATAAAATATTCCGAAATAGACCTGACAATGTCATGTTGCACCATCCAAAAAAGCCCACAAAATAATTTCTTCCTCATACCTATATATCAGTAAATAAATCAGGTAATACATTGGCCAACAATCTTGAAGTACTCTATACATTACGCCTAAATCCACTAATCAAAAGATAGCTTAGACTCGTCAGTTCGCATAGAGGATTCTCCTAGTCTTTGCTTTACATAAAAGCTTAAATTTTTTGAGCTAAACTTGGAGCGCTGAGGATTGACATGGCACGGATTATAAATCGACTAGTCCCTGATGCCTATCCAAGCTGAAAAGTAGGAGGGCAAGACTGAGCACCTGTACGCGGTGTCCTCTACGAACATGGGAGTGAAATATTCTCCCAGATGTTATGGGCTGTGCCCGGATTGGGACTGGTCACTAGGACCAGCCCGGCTAGATCTTTAAGCGCCAACGAAGCAGCGCTTACAGAGACGCGAAAGGTTGCATGGGGAAGAATGCAAGGATACGCACAAAGAGGGATCTAAGTATCGCATAAGGATTAATGCAAGGTTGCGCACAAGAACGAGTCTCAGTGTTGCATAAGGATAATTGCAAGGTTGCGCATGAGGAAGGACCCAAGGGAGTTCGTACTAAGGGGGGGAGGATGTCACAGGAAAGAGGGTAGCCGGGGAGAATGGAGTATTCTCAGGTAGGCTAGGAGGGGAGCTTAAACGTGACGCTGAGGAGCACATAAAGGACAGGAGCCGTCGCAGACAGATTAGCTTCCTAAGGAAAAATTATCAATTCCTATTGAGTTAACGTCTTTCAAGTACTTCTGAATTCTTTAAACCCTTCACACAGAGCCAAGTTTAGTCAAATTTCGCAATATCAAACAAGTTGGCCCACGAGGCAAAATTTCAAATTACTCCACCATGTCAATCTTTCACACCCAAAGAGTCCGATTCTCAACTAAGCTTCATCAAGTCTACAAGTACCTACAAGTACGACCAAGTACATCCTCATCCCAATGACCATACCTCTCGTCGACTTTCTCTGGCCTCAGTTGACCACCAAATACACGCCCACGCCGATATTTATACCCGACGGAGGAAGCAAAGCGTGGAGCACAAATCTGGGAGATAGCTCTTTGGGATGGACGTGAGAGGAATCGGGACAAGTTTACAAGATGATGCAGAAGAGGGATACATTCTCGACGTGCGTGAAATTTCGAATTTTGGCAAGAGTTTTACGAATTGAGCTTTGTGCGCACCAAGACTTTGATTGAGAGAGTGCAGCTGACACTATAAAAACAAGCAAACGATGGAAGGTGTTGTGGTCCGCCTCCTGGTGGTGTTCTCTGGTATAGTTTGTGTAGCCTGGGCACCTACTTCACTTGGGAAGGAGACATCTAAGATCACATTTCGCGCGGAGGAAATATCATGGATGACGGAGGCACGTTTGGATAACTCAGGGTTTTTGAGATGTCCCCTGGGTGGATATTCACGGATAAGGGTTGACTTGCGGTGAAGAAAAAGCCACCACAACTTCGCATTGGTACTTGCAAATGAAATCCGAGGCATGAGTGCTCCTCTTGTAAATTGAGTCATCTTTTCTGTACTTTTCTTTACTATTGTGTCATAGCTAGATAGCTGCATACGCAATTAAAATCTGATGCAAAAAAAAAAGCTGAAAATTAAAGGGTATGACTCACGGTTTCTATAGTAAATACTGACATGAATCAAATTCCAAAACTACCAATTGAGATTTAAAGCTGGTCGATAGCTTCAGCAGTCTTTCATAGTCATAGATTTTGGATGTGAAATCTTTTACGTAACAGGAAGAGCCCAACATCTATTTAAACGTGACACGGGTAGATGGGCTCTGAAAGCTTATTGCTACATACATGACCCACAGTCAAGCCAGAAGCGATAAAACAAAAAAAGAAATGAAAAGGAACAATGAATGTCGGAGTTGCGGTGCCCCGCGCCGCATCCCTATGTTCTAAATACATCTCTCGAGTTAGAAAAATCTCAGCATTGTCACCTCCCACCCTGTTCATTCTTTGGTAGATTGTAGCATCTCCTTGTAGTTAGGAACTGGATGAACTTCAGCCATCCTTTCTCCCCTATCTCTTCACAGTCATAGATTTGTTAGGGTCTAAAACTTAATTCTATTCCAATTTCCTTCCGTGAAAACTGCGAAGAGACCAGGGCCTTGGGAGCTCGCTGGCGTTACGTCAGCAGTGCCCCTCTAAGAAGATCTACAACGTCACCACATCAAGACACCATCATCTTATTCTGCAACATAGTACAATTTACTGCAGGCTATTCGACTGAACACAGTCCAAAATTTTGTCATCCTAAGCTCAAATTTCAAGCATCTCTTTTATTTTTTACAAATGTCCCGTCACAGGCTAGTCAGGAATCTCCATCTGAACGATGAATTAGATGATTTTGATGGTGGGGCTGACGACGACTACGACTTCGACGATGCAGAAGGTAAGTGTCAATCCTCACTTATCTCGCTAAATTTAATCTATGAACTAGAGCTCAGTGAAGAAGATCATGGTCGGTCATGCCTCTAAATGCAAGAAAAAACCGAGTCGCATGCCTATTAACAGAAACTAGAAAAGTTACGAGATGGCACCATTGCTGTGCGTGCTTCCCTACCTCTTTGTAGAAGCCACATCACCGACAAGGAAATACAAGAATCTCTATGGCACACGTTTTATAATGTTGAAAAAACGGTGGAATATTTACTACGTATTCACTCCGATAAGCCCAAAGCAGGAAAAACATCAAAGAAGAAAAGCTCAAAAGGTTTGTTATTTTACATTACAGATCTTGGCAAAACCGTGAAAAAGGAGACTCGTGATGACTTGGTAAAAAGTGGGTCGCAGGCTCCCTATAGCGGTACATATATCTAACATGCACAGACAATTTGTCGATACATGAATCTAGATCTTCCAATTTTACAGAGTTCTTTAAGGATACACCATGGCTCAAAGTACCCAAAGAGCGTGAAGCAATATTGGTCGCACCTCTTTACCCTAGAGGTGGTTTACTAGGTGGCTCTAGTGAACCTCCGAAGATGTCGAAACTTCAGGCTCTGGCAGCTGCACGGCGAAAAAATATTCCCGAAATAAAAAATGAAAACAGCGTGAGCGCTGCAGAAAGCCTTGCAAAGCTCAAACTGAGTCAAAGTCGTCACATCGGGGGCTCCAGCGGCACGCAAAACTTAATCTTCAATCAGGAAGTCCCTCAGAAGTCGTCACGAGGATTTCCCATCCGAAAACGCCAACCCTCGGTCCCCATAGACCAGAGTATTGCTTACTCCAAGAATAAATTATCCGATTCCAAAGATTCTCTCTTCAATATTGATCAAGAAACAAACAAAGCCAGTCCTTCAGAATTTGCCAGTACTATGTTTAGCAGGATCTCTCGACCAAATTCCCAGCCCTATTTCTCGATGCCTTATGCTGCTGGTACCTATCAAACAGCTGACCCTTTTGCAGGTCCTAGTCCCGATGATATAGTACTTGCTGCTCAGTCGAAAGGTTTGAGTAAAAATCTTCGTACGAAGACGGAATTCGAAAACTGATGTAGCAACAGCCAATGGCGCTAAAAATGTTCAACCAAAATCTAAAAAGGAAGGACATTCAGATGAAATTATTGGAAAACTTGAATCGATAACGATAGATGATGTGAGGCCTCAATTAAAAAAATTAGATGTTCCAAAGGAATTTCGGAATCAAGTAAGGAAAAATACTGCTAATTTCGTAGTTATTGGTGAATTTGACTGTTCCTATTCTTTCAACTTCAGCTAAAAAAGTTAGGTCATGTAGATGCTGGCAAAAGCACGCTTATGGGACGACTTCTTCTTGACCTTGGTGTGGTTAATCAGCGAACGGTTGATCGATACAGAAAGGAAGCTGATTCAATTGGTAAATCATCCTTCGCTATAGCCTGGGTATTTGATCAAGGGAGCGAAGAGCGTGCTCGAGGAGTAACGATCGATATTGCTATGAATAAGTTTGAGACTCCGAATACATCATTTACGGTTCTTGATGCGCCGGGTCACCGAGACTTTATCCCTAATATGATAGCTGGTGCTTCACAAGCTGATTTTGCTGTGCTTGTAATTGATGCCAGTACCGGCTCCTTTGAGTCGGGTCTAAAAGGTCAAACAAAGGAACATACCCTTCTTGTACGCAGCATGGGTGTGCAACGAATAATAGTGGCTATTAACAAGCTAGATACAGTTGGATGGTCAGAGGAGCGTTTTACAGAGATCAAAAATCAGATTTCATCGTTTCTTACCACTGCTGGGTTTCATTCCAAGAATATATCTATTGTGCCCTGCTCTGGCCTCTTGGGTGATAATGTAATCAATCGATCTCAGAATCCAGCATCGAAATGGTACAACGGTCAGACTCTGATCGAAACTCTGGATGTCTCTGGACCAATATCTCGCAATATAGATGAGCCCTTGCGTATGACGATCTTCGATGTTTTCCGTGGCGGTCAACAGAATCCTGTATCTTTAAACGGTCGTGTAGACTCAGGCACTTTACAAGTGGGAGAGACGCTTCTTGCGCAACCCTCTGGTCAAACATGTATTGTCAAATCTCTTGAATCCGACAACCAAACAGTAAACTGGGCAGTAAGCGGACAGCTAATAACAATTCACTTATCGGGCATTGGTGATCAATATCTAAAGGCCGGGGATGTGCTTTGTTCGACTTCATCCCCTATTCGAAATATCAAAGAATTCACAGCAAAAATATTGGCCTTTGAATTTATTCTTCCCATGAAGGTGGAAATTCACAAAGGACGTCTTCATACAACAGGGCGGGTAAAAAAGATTGAGTGCATCTTAAATAAGACAACCGGAACTGTCGTAGGGAAACACCCCAAAGTCGTCAAACCAGGAATGTTAGCGCGGATAACTGTTGAAGTAGACCTAGCCGTGCCATTAGAATCCCCAGGTCGAGTTGTTCTTCGCTCTGATGGCTGCACAATTGCTGCGGGCCTCATAGAGTAGGTTGTAACTAAACTCTAGATTTAAAATTCTAGGGTCAGAATCCAGAGCTGAGCGTCAAATCATAATTTCAGAAGAGTATTACGGGACTAAACTGACTTGAAATTATATACGTTGTATCCAGATATGACCTATGATTAGTGCTCAAACCTTTAAATTGAAAAAAATGTAAATTGTATCCAGATTCCTAGCTACGATAAATGATCAATGTTTTGTGAGGTTTTTAATAGTACTCTTAACTTCAGAGACCTCGTGGCTTTAGGAATAAAAGCATTATGAAGTCTAGAACACTCTCTGAGATCTCAGACAGACCTACAGAAGAGTTGCGGATACATCCATAAAACTGGCCTCTGAATTCTGAGCTCCAAGCCTCATGCTTTAGATTTTAGTGGCCATACAGAAATTTACATCGGAGTTTGTTGACAAGACAATATCTCAATGAAATGCGGACTTCGGTAACAGCTCCCCAGCCGATATGTCTTCGGAGTTAAACCGTCTTTAACGCTGCGCTCTCAGTTCCACCTTCAATGATCGCTTATGTAAGATAATCGTAAATATTACAGCTGTAGTTGAAGCCAAAGGAAAGTATTTCATCTACTCATATAAACTAGGCTATTCAGGTCACATGACCTGACTAGCAGTAAATAGATTTCATCAGTAGTAGCAGTGGTCTCTATTTGGAATATCCTGGGTTCTGAACTCTGCAGAAGGGCCTATCGCCTTCAGCAAGTAGGTCCAAAAGACAAAGTTTTTCGAAGAGACCCATTTTCGCTCCATACTACCTATTTAGCGGGACTCCATCACTTACTAATAGCTCTGTCTGTACCGGTGGTAGATTGTTTCTCCTCTCCAGCATGTAGATTTACAGTTTAATTCCGTCAGCAGTATAGTTCAGAAAAGGCCCAGAGGAGGGGTGCTTTTGGTGTATTTTTAGTTAGGGGCAACTGGCAGGAGGGCCAGGGCCCAGGTAGTTTATGCCGGGATCTTAGGAGCGTCGGCACGTCGGGTAGTTTATCTAGACTGAGCTAACCGGCATGTGTCCTGGGGAAACGTGTTGCGCGCTGACACAACGTAAAGTAATAAACAAACTAACTAAACAAACGAAAAGCGTAGGTCTCTCTACAAATAACCCACGATGACCACACGAGGAATTAGCCCTCTCTTTCTACGAAAAGCTCTACAAGGTGCTGCATTTGCGACACTTTTCTACGGGGCCAAGACCTGGTACTCTAAAGAAAATTCTCAAAAGATCATCTCGCAAGTCCAACATAGGATGAACGACGCGGCTCGGGCAGCTCTCCCAGCCTACTGTACCACTTCAATAGCAGCAATTCTACAAGAAACTGGCTGGCGCCCAGCTCAGACGTGGCTCTCCCGGATTCACAGTCGTTTAGCGGCTCGAATTGCGACATCTGACCCATACCACCCTCTTCATAGGCGTTGGAATACTAGTCGCATGCGCTGTATCTGCTAGAGGATCCCCTTAGAACTTTCCGATCGCACCATACCCCCGCCATAGTTGTCAGCCCGTAAGGAAGAGCTACTCGGAATGGGGGCAGTAGGAAGACTCCTGGGACCAAACTCCCTCAAACAATGGCGGGCTGAACAACCAATCCTAAACCCATTCGTATTTTCAGATGGTGTGAAACGTTAAGTGATGTTCAGGCATTCAAGTTGGAGTCTCGTGTTATCTCGTTGTTTTACAATGACGGGCTTATTGTTCTTGCGGTTGTTTTGAAATTGTTATCTCCGCACAACGAAACAGAGTTAGCGTTTAAACGTCGCTCTGCATGTTTCAGATTGAACTGAGGTAGAAGTTGGATCAAATGCGATCATTAAAAATATAGAAGAGGTTCTGACCTTGAACCAAAAAAATATAGACAGATTTGTTTTACCAAATGCAAACCTCATTTTTCCTATAAAGTCTAATAGATGGCGCTCTCATAGAAGACCAAGCAGGTGCGGGTTACGTCATTTGCCGAGGCCCTACGCAGGAGATATAGCGAGAATCACTCCCGCTCGGAAACTCGGCGGAAGTGTATGATGCAGAAATTGCCGGGGCCACAGAAGGTCTTGCCGCAGCTTTTCGCAACCCTCTGGCCTATTATGCCACCAACGTCACTGTCTGCCATCCGTCTGATCTCTGATGTGCCCACAGCATCTAGCTCCGCAAAAATCTTTCTCTTTCGCAAGCTTGCAGAAGAGTGGAAAAGTAGGCCACGCGGCCGAAATACAACGTCTGGGAAAGTGGCAATTCAACAGTGCCTAGGCCACGCAGGTATTCTCGGGAACGAAGCTGCCTGTGCAGCTCCAGCTCCACACTTGGATCTCTCCCTTGCGAGGGCAAGGAGAGAAGTCAAAGCCCAATACGAGACTTCTGTTGTATTTTATTGGGCAGAAAATGTACCTTCTAGATACAAAGAACTAAGAATTGGTCCTAATACGAAAATTACCATTGAGCTCGCCTGTCTGGGACGACGCGTATTAGGATATCTACTAGCTTCACGGTCCGGTCACGGCAACTTTGCGGACCACTACCGACGGTTTCAGCACGAAAACGCCATTCTAACCGGCACATGCCGAGAAGAGAAGTCCTCCAACCACTTTTTCTATTGCCACCTCGGGCAATACCAGGCTCAGCTCCACAGGGCACAGAATTCTAACTCTAGCATATCTTGTGCTCTGGCTTCGGTGCAGGGAGTTGATGCATTCAATAACCGGGTGCGTGTCACAAATTTCTTCGAAAGGGCACAACAAAAAGTCGGATTCAAGCTAAATCACGACTTGATGTAAATAATTTCTTCACTTAGTACCAACTGCATAGTATGAGACTCGTTGGACGGACGACCGTCATGTATACTGTAATCTTCGAGTGCATGATGATAAGATTCTGGATTTCATTTGCTTTGTTGGGTCTGTGTACCCGCCAACACGTCGGGTAGTTTATATTTCGACTGGGCTAACCGGTACGTGAGGAGCTCACGTGCTATGCGCGGGCACGACGTTAAATATTATAAATAAAGTGCACGACATCGACCTCTGCTTTGCCAAGAAGAGCCCAAAATATTCCTGCCAAGTTTGCCTGGACCTCGAAGCTAGCTCTGACCACAGAACTCTTTGTACAAGAATTTCAAATAGAGGGGCCCAAGTTCCCACTTCCGGCCGCCTTCGCTATAATGCCTGCGACTGGAAGGCCTTCGGCACAGTCCTCTCGAACCGACTTACTTCCCACCCTCTAACAGATCCAGAAGAGGAAGCTACCTTTCTTGTAGAAGCTATATCAGGCGCTTTATGCGCATCTTGCCCTAGATCGAGAGACAAAACAAGAGGCTATAGACGGTGGACTGAAGAATATAAAAAAGCTCATCGAGACTTCTGCCACGCTAGACGCCTTTATTCGAATGCCATACAGGAACGTCGTCTGTTTGATAAAGTCGTTAGAAAAGCCAAGAGTGTGTATTGGCGACAGAAGATCGATGGAGTAGCCAACCTTACTGAGGCATACAAAATCAACAGCTGGCGTAAGAAGCAAACCCGCTCGAATGCCCCCCCCTGACTGGAACTGATGGCCCAGCTGTCACTCCCATAGAAAAAGCAAAGCTTTTCAGGGACACGCTTCTTAGCCGCCATCTAAACCTACAAGATATCTCGATAGATGTGCCCGCTATACCTCGGAAAGGTCTCCCATGGCCCCCACTTACAGAGGAAGTATTCCGATCATGCTACCAGGTAACATCCACCGCCCCTGGTCTGGATGAAATCACGATAGGTGCTCTTGAACAAGCCTGGCCAATAGCAGGAAGGCACATTATAGCGTTGTTTCGCCATTGCGACCAGCTAGGAACTTTCATGGATCCTTGTGGCATAGCGTATGATGAAACGCCATGCGAACGGCTAAGTTAAAACACAAATAATAGTTCAATGCACTTCTAAAACCAGCAAGGAAGACTGATAAGAATGGGCTGGTTTCATTAGGTTATGTGTAGCAGATAATTGGGCATAGGGGCTGTGTGCTACGTGCTATTTGGTAATTTTATGTATATAAATACTCGGCGTGAAGAAGCATAATTCTTCACGCAACGTCTTCTTTAATTACCTTAACAATACATTTGTTTACCCATCTCTTCTTCGGGAAGACCATTTATCTCTTTCCAGCTCTTCATCAGCAAGACCCACGTGTAGCCTCTATCGCTACTATCTACCCATTTGTCTCTTCCTAGAGAAGACCAGTCATCCCTTCGACCCACTCATCACCTTTATCTACCACCTAGATCTTCGTTAGACCACATACGCACCCTGTGGAACACTGTCCTAACCTCGCCTTGAGAGGAACCCACCCATCTATCTTCAAGAAGTCTAGTGTTATCATACTACCAAAATCCGGAAACCGCGACTTATCTTTCCCGAAATCCTACAGACTGTTGGAAAATCGGTATGGGTTTGATGAGTAAGGCGGATCAAAGAATATGGGCGCGATTTTATGAATTGAATGGATTAGATTATCTGTCTTGGTGATTCCTAGACAGCTTATATACATGTAATTTTGATAGACCAAATCCAGACTAGATACCATCTATCATTCGTTCCATACTCTAACAATGACAATGAAACGCATGACAGTATACAACATGAGTATGGGGTCAGGGTCGGTGGATGAAAGCCTACACGTGTATCAGACCATACCATACACTAGTCGAGTCTCAAGCATCAAACATGCTCAGTAAGGGAGATATGTTGTGGTTATGAGCTGTGAGGTATATAGCAATTATGTCTCTGCTGTCCGTCGGTGGAGTTACACGGGCTCATGTGCAATGGTGAGTCGCGGAGATGGCGCGCTCACGCTGGGTGATAGCACGATGGACACTGAGTGCGTATCAGATGGTCATCTATGGAGGTGATGCTAGATGTGCATCCCGACTATTGATAATATCATCTAATGGATGATGTGAAGTATGATATTATTTTGGATAGATTAATCCACTAAACTCGGCAGGTGAAGAGAT